GATTTAAGTTTGTTCAAATCATGACCCCTGGGGGTAGGGTGGGGCCACAATGGGGGATCAAAGTTTTACATAGGAATATATAGGAAAATTCTTTAAAAATCTTCTTCTCAAGAACAACAAAGCCACAATTAGTCATATTGATATGAAATCATCCTCAGGTAGTGTAGATTTAAGTTTTTTCAAATCATGACCCCTGGGGGTAGGGTGGGGCCACAATGGGGGATCAAAGTTTTACATAGGAATATATAGGAAAATTCTTTAGAAATCTTCTTCTCAAGAACAACAAAGCCACAATTAGTCATTTTGATATGGAATCATCCTCAGGTAATGTAGATTCAAGTTTGTTCAAATCATGACCCCCGGGGGTAGGGTGGGGCCACAATGGGGGATCAAAGTTTTACATAGGAATATATAGGAAAATTCTTTAAAAATTTTCTTCTCAAGAACAACAAAGCCACAATTAGTCATATTGATATGGAATCATCCTTAGGTAGTATAGATTCAAATTTGTCGAAATCAAGACCCCTGGGGGTAGAGTGGAGCCACAATTGGGGATCAAAATTTTACATAGGAATAAATAGGAAAAATCTTTTAAAATCTTTTCAAGAACAGGAAAGCCGTGATTAGTCATTTTGATATTGAAGCATCCCCAAGTATTGTAGATTCAAGTTTGTTCAAGGCATCCTCCAGTAGTAGGGTGGGGCCATAATCGGGGATCAAAGTTTAAGAAAAGAATATATATAAGAAATATCTTAAAATATCTTCTTCTCAAGAACAACAAAGCCATAATTAGTCATATTGATATGGAAGCATCCTTAGGTAGTGTAGATTCAAGTTTGTTCAAATCTTGAACCCCCCCTCCCTTCCTACCCCCCAGGGTAGGATGGCAGACACTTTTAAAATTCTGTTTCAGGAACAGCAAAACCATGATTAGTTATATGAATATAGAAGCATCCTCAGAAAATTTAGATTCAATTTCATTCAAAACATGGCAACTGGGGATAGGTTATGCCTAGAACAATTGATCAAAGCTTTACGTATGAATATATAGAAGAGGAAATCTGCTGACAAAGAACAGCAGGGCCATATTGACTCAGGTGAGCGTTGTGGCCCATGGACCTCTTGTAACATTATGCATCAAGCTAAAGGTGAGAACGTAATACCAATTTCAGTAAAATGCATTGTATATAAAACAGGATACGACATTCACAATATCCGAGTTTAAATGCTATACTAACAAGCTAATTCAGAGAAGCTGTGTCCCCTGCTTAAGGATAAAAGAGCATGTACGGATCTTGAGGGGTTGGGTCGGAGGATGGTGGGGTTGGGGGGATGGGATACTTTAAGAGTTGGGGGCGGGACCAAAGGGAGTTATGATATAAAATTTCATTGCAAAAGCTTAAAAGCTTCTTGAGATATCGCACGGAAATGAAAATTTTACACACAAATAGAATGTATAAATTTTTGACCTTGACCTTTGACCTTTTGACCTCAAAATCAACAGTGGTCTTCTTTAGGCCATAGGGAGTTTCAATGTAAAATTTCATTGCAAAAGCTCGAAGTTTTTGAGATATTGCGCGGAAATAAAGTGTTAAAGCAGACAGAATTTATGAATTCATGACCTTTACCTTTGACCTTAAAATCAATGGGGGTCTTCCTTAGGCCACAGGGAGTTGTTATATAAACTTTCATTGCAAAGGCTCAAAGGCTTCACAAGACATCGTGCAGAAACGAAAGTGTTGCAGAAAGACAGACGGATGTACGTTAGACAGACCTAAATAAATATCCCCCACTTTAAGTGAAAGCAGGGGACAAAAAGGAAAATTTTATATACCATTATGTCCTTGAACTTTGACCTTCTGTCTGTATTTACCAATTCATGTGATGCTCGTTACATGTATTGTCCAACAGAACTGTAATTTTGTTTATTCATAATTATGTTGTTTAAATCACAAGTATTAGTTATGGCATTGAAAAAAATATTGAAAAAATTTCCTTACTTTTCCATCTAAATCGAGCCATTTTGACCTTGACCTTTAACCTTTTGTTATGAAAATTGATTTTTTTCTTTGTTTTTGCTATTGTGTACTACATGTACAAATTTGGTTTTAATCCATTTTAAAATACTCAGGTATTTATTTGGAAACTGATAGTAGATACCTATTGCCCTTGTCTGGAATTCTTAAAAAAAGCATTAGTTTGTAACCATGGTAACATGAAAACAAGATATGAATACCAAGTGGTTCTTTACAATTTATATTACAACTATTTTTGGACTTTCAAACCAATGTATTAATTTTTTCCAATATGTCTGCAAAAATTTATACCAGGCTTTTCAAAAGAGCCTAAAATCTACAATTTCATTTCATAACCTTCGATAAGATACTTAGTGTTCTCTCCGCTTGACTCGCCGCTAGGTGACGCTATAAATAGCCATATAAAAAGTCTCCCTATAGAAATTTACTCATTCTTCGATTTGGCTCGTGAGTGACACTTACCTGGAATTGTTACGGTCCACTACACTTCGTGGTGTCCGTGTTCTTTTGTTTTTTACGTTTTTTCCCTCGACCTTGGTTTTATGAGGAAACATTCGGATGTATTGAGCATACCAGACAGTTCCATGTCCTTCTCAAACTGGTCGAGAGAGCAGACTAGGCGTTCTAGGTCGAGTTCGCCGGCGAATTCAAGAGAACACGTTTCTCGACATGGTCGCCATTTTGATAAAGGTGAAACCCCTAGTAGTGGGCACACCAAAGCTCAAACTCACAGTAAGAGTAGAGCGAAGAAAAGGAGACACTCTAGTTCGAGTTCTGGCTCCAGTTCAGATTCTTCAAGTTCTGACGGTTCTAGGAGTAGCAGTGATTCTAGAGCTTCTTCTCGTAAGTCACAGAAGTCGGGTTCGGAATCCTTTAATTCCAACACCGGAAGTAGAGAAAACGAAAGTAGCACCTCAAAACCAAAAAGAAGTGTAACGTCAGAAACGATTGAAGTTTACGAAAGATTTGACATTAATAACGATGTAAAAGGAGAAAAATTTGACAATGAGTTGAAACAGTTTTGTCAGCCATTCTTTACTAAATATTTCAGTGACGAAACCCTGAAAACTAAGATCTTGGACAAGTATCCAATACCCGATGCAGGTGATCTTTTCAAAGTGAAAAAATTAGATTCTTTTATCAGTCCTTTACTGGAAAAGAAAAACAAACAGTTTGATAAAGGAGCTGACAAAGGGGCACAAAATATTCAGTCGAGAATTTACAAAACCTTGGGGCCTCTTTCTAAGTTGTGGGGCATTCTAGAAGATCTGCGTGCTGCCTCTGGGGAGTCTCATGAAGTTGATAACGTTGACGTGACCCACATGTGTTCTTTGCTAGAACAGTCTGTTTGTTTGATTGGCCAAGCAAGTGTAGCAGTTGATCACCATCGCAGAGTCAATGCGACGGTGAAAATTACAGGAGATTACAAGAAGGCTAAGGCCATTTTGGATGAAAATGCTGAAGCTTTAGAAACTAGCGGGAGTAAACTGTTTGGTGATAAATTTATAAAGATCTTAAAAAAGACAGGGAAAAGAAGAAAAGAGGCTAACGAGGTAGTTGATGCTTTTCAGCCAGAGAAAAAGAAAAGAAAGAAGTCAACTTTTTACAATCGACCTTCTACTTCCTATACCAGTTACGGGAATAAGCAAAGGTTCAGACAGCCCTTTCAAGATGGGCCCTCCGCCAGATTTTTGGAGGGCCAAAGATACAGGTTCAACAGACCTAACCAGAGTTACAGAAAGAAGTCGGACAGGTATGGACAATATACCTCAAAATTTAGAAAGGGAAAGAACTCTTACTTATGCAGAAGAAGCGTTAAGCTCATTTTCTGTAGTAGTTCTAAAAAAATCGGAAATTTTTCCAGAAATTCTGGGTTTAAATCTACCGTTGGTAGATCAAGAAAATGTAATCCCTGTTGGGGGGAGGCTAAAGTATTTCATAAACAATTGGCAAAGAATAACAAAAGATCTAAAAATTCTAAGAACAGTTCAGGGAGTTTCTTTAGATTGGATAAGTCATCCAGTTCAAGAAAAAATTCCTCATCCCCCCGTTTTAAGGTCAGAACAAGAAAACATTCTTCAAGAAGAAATAACAAGTTTGCTACAGAAAGATGCAGTAGTAAGAGTTACTTCCCATCAATATCAATTTGTCAGCAACATGTTTACAGTCCCAAAGAAAGACGGGGGACATCGACCCATAATAAATCTAAAACCATTAAACAGATTCCTTCTTTATCAACATTTCAAGATGGAAGGTCTGTTCATGGTTCAAGATTTAATGGAAAGGGGTTTTTACATGTGCAAAATAGATCTGAAAGATGCATATCTGACAGTCCCAATCAATCAAAGGGATCAAAAGTTTTTGAGATTTCTATGGAGAGGGGAGATGTTTCAGTTCCAGACACTTCCATTCGGTCTGGCCTCTGCTCCAAGAATATTCACAAAACTTTTAAAACCAGTAGTAGGTCTTCTAAGAAGGTTAGGAATAAAACTCATAATCTACTTAGACGACATACTTATTCTAGCCAGAAACAGAGAGAAATTGGTTCAAAGTCGAAATACAACACTGTATCTCTTACAGATGCTTGGTTTCATGATAAACTGGAAAAAATCTATGTTAGACGCAGTCCAAGAAATTTCTTTTTTGGGGTTCGAAATAAGCTCCGTAAATATGCTCTTCAGATTATCAGAAGAAAAAGTGCAAAAAATAAAAGAAAACTGTACACAAGTTCTGAAAAAAGAAAGTCTGTCTGTCAGGGAAATGTCCCAGTTGATAGGAAAATTAATTTCAACAATGCAGGCAATAATTCCAGCAAAATTACAATGTCGATGCATGCAAATGACTCAGATCAAGGGGTTACTAGAAAACAAACATTACGAAGCAATGATTCCTATATCAAGTGGGGTAAAAACAGAACTAAGATGGTGGATAGATCAGTTAGAAATTTCAAATGGGAAATCAATCATTGCTTCAAATCCCTCAATGATTCTCACATCAGATGCCTCAGACCTAGGATGGGGGGCCACATACGAAACTCAAAGCACAGGAGGGTTTTGGTCCCCAGTAGAGAAATCCTATCACATAAATGCAAAAGAACTCCTGGCAGCTTTTTTGGCAGTTCAATCATTTGCAAAATCAAAAAGAAATATTCAAATTTTAATAAAAATAGACAATATAACAGCTGTAGCACACATAAACAGATTGGGCGGAACAAAATCTGCATTACTAAATCATCTGGTAAAACAAATATGGGATTGGTGTCAAGTAAATCAAATCTCCCTAGTAGCAGAATTTATTCCCGGATCTCTGAACACAAAAGCAGACTGGGAGTCAAGAAATCAGCAAGATTCAGGGGATTGGATGTTAGACAAACCAATTTTCAATCAAATTATGAATCTTCTAGGGTGGTGCAAAGTAGACCTTTTTGCCTCTCGTCCATCTTCGCTAGCCAAGGGTTTCTGATACGCTACTCTCCTCATAAGCCCTTGGCATACGGTGTTAAAAAAAGTTGGGATTTTTTTCTCAAGTTGTGATTGGAGTTGATCGACATCATTCGACCAATCATCAATTGTTTTTTTGTAAATGACGATATTTGCGTTCGGTATATATCTTGACTCTTTAATATCGGGAATGAAAAACGCAAGTAAACAACGATCCGTAAGAAAAAATGCCGTTCTATGAATAGCTATATGGTGTCATCCAATATCTTAAGCTACGTGCAAAATATGTGGTTAAGAATCTATACTGAAGATGTAGATTTGCATTTTAACATGTTTAAATAACAAATTAACATACCTCAATACCTTCTTCTTAATTATTCTTTAAAAAATTATTTTTTTTAAATATGCTTTTTATTTCTGTCGATGACGCAATCTGTGCGTACCAGTGGTAAGAATCGTGACCACGTGACGAAAACAATCCCGTCTTTTGTCAGCATCGTATGCCAAGGGTTTTTGAGGAGAGTAGCGTATCAGAAACCCTTGGCTATAGCGAAGATGCCTCTCGTCTAAACCATCAACTTCCTCAATATTACAGTTGGAAAGCAGACCCAGGGGCCAGGGGGATCAATGCTTTTCTACATTCTTGGAAGGGAATGAAAGCTTACATATTTCCCCCCTTCAGTCAGATAAGCAAATGTTTAGGGAAGATAAGGGAGGAACAGATAGAATCAGTAGTACTGAAAGCACCAGTTTGGCAAGCTCAACCCTGGTATCCTCTTCTGTTAGAAATGTTGATTCACAACCCAGTCCTTCTTCCACCATATCCCAAACTGTTAACATCTCCAACAGGCTTACCTCATCCTCTCACATCAGACAAATCCCTTCATCTAGCTGCATGGATGGTTTCGGGGAACACATACAAACAAGGTCTCTTTCTAGAGAAGCTGCCTCTTTACACTCCCAAGCATGGAGACCAGGAACTAGAGCAGCTTACAAAAGTGCCTGGGGAAAGTGGGTTGGCTGGTGTGGTTCAAAATCATTTGATCCAATTCACTCCCCTCTGGAACCTATTCTAGAGTTTTTAACTGTTTTGTACAATGAGAACAAACAGTACAGGACAATTAATACCTACAGATCTGCAATTTCCAAAAACCATGCCCTTGTAGAGGGTCAACGTGTAGGACAACATCCTTTAATTGTTACTCATATGAGAGCTATTTTCAATATGAGAACCCCAAAACCAAGATATCAAGAATCTTGGGATGTAGACATTTTACTCAAGTTTATTGATAACTTAGGTGATAACAGAAGCCTTTGTCTGAAAAAGTTATCGTGTAAATTAGTGGCATTACTTGCTCTGACCTCGGCTGGCAGAGCCTCAGAACTTAACCAGTTGAATGTGAATTTCATGATAGATTCTGGTGATTGCATTTCATTTAAATTGTCTAAACCTACAAAGACTTGCAAGCCAGGGAATCCTTTACATTCTATTGTATTCACTGCTTTTGAGACAAACACTTTATGTGTGGTAGAATGTATTAGATCTTATATAGAAAGAACAGTTGATTTTAGACATGTTTCAGACAACATAGACAGATCCTGGTTGTTACTGAGTTATGTAAAACCACATCACCCAGTGACAACTAGTTCTATTTCTAGATGGTTAAAAACCATAATGGCTGAAGCTGGTATTAACACTGACCAGTTTAAAGCTCATTCCACTAGGTCAGCTTCAGTATCAAAAGCTTATTTGGCAGGAGTTTCTGTTTCTGAAATTATGCAACAAGCTCATTGGGCTAAGGAGAGTACCTTTGCCAGGTTTTATTGTAAACCAGTACACAAGTCGAGCTTTCAAAATTCAGTATTGAAAAGGTAATAATAAGGGCTTTAAAAGAATACTAAGTATCTTATCGAAGGTTATGAAATGAAATTGTAGATTTCATAAGCACACGTAGTGTGTGCAATGGAATCCTAATTTCATGAATAACCTGAGATAAGATATGAAAGTGTTCTCACCCACCCTTCCCGTTACCTTTTGATTTTGTATTGCATTGGTTATATCACTGTCTGATATTAACTCATCACTGTCTGATATTTTTCAGATCATAAGAAGACTGGACAATTATAAAGAAAGAAGAGATTTCTTTGTTGAATATAATTGTGATTTGAATAAATCAATCTAAGAGTTTACTTCATTTTAGTTTTTCCTTACAATGTAAGGTTTACGTTGTACTCCCTCACCAATTGGAAGAATGAGTAAATTTCTATAGGGAGACTTTTTATATGGCTATTTATAGCGTCACCTAGCGGCGAGTCAAGCGGAGAGAACACTTTCATATCTTATCTCAGGTTATTCATGAAATTAGGATTCCATTGCACACACTACGTGTGCTTATGAAATCTACAATTTTTCCTCAGAAAAATCATACTTAAAAAGGGGGGATATTTTTTCTATGAGGTTAAGTTACTCAAATACTAGAAATTATCTAAAGAACTATAAAAATGATGTATTTTGACAAAAAGATAAAGTCATGTAAATATCTTGTTGTATTAAAGACTTTTAATTAGTCAAAAATGGTCATTTTCATCAAAATTTAGCATTTTTTAGGCCATGAAAAATGTATGTTGGTTGCCATGGTAACCATTGACCATAGCAACCATTTTATTATGAATTTTAGTTTCATACATCATTATAGGAATGTGTGCCAAGTTTCATAAAAATCTAAGACCTAGCGTGCCACACTCCCTATATAAGAGTTTAAATGCTTACAGAGAATGGCTATTAAATGGTAATAAAGAAATATATAATTAACATTTGCAACTAACGATGCATGCAAATTTTTAAAGTCTGTTATGAAACCTTTGTGTTGCATTTCTTGTATGCTTTGCATCAACAAATTTGTTCACCTGTTGTATTTAGCTGGTAAGGCTAACCCTTAACAGCATGAACCTCTAACTTCCCACTTGAATTTTGGAAAAAAATTTTGCGTATTGCAATTGTATTTTATTTAGCATGCGAAAATCGACTTTCAACAAGTTAGCGTAAATTTGATTTAGCGCATATCTAAATGTGCTAAATATAAATATATGTACTCCAGACCATCGTCGGAAACCCACGGCTGATTATGCTTCGTTCCTCTCTCCAAGATGGAGAGAGGAACCCAGCTTAATCAGCCGTGGGTTTCCAATGATGACTCCAGACATGATTTAGCAGAAGCTGCTTTCCACCAAAGGCACTGAAAAGAATACACACTAAATGTAATACTTTTACAGTATCTGACAGTGAGGCTGATCTTGACATTTGACCTTGACATTAGTAAAAGAAAAGTGTATACTCTGTTGATGCTGAACTCTTCTGATTATTGTATAGCATAAGTAAATCAAAAAGAGATGTTTCAAATATTTACCAAGAACTGACCATTGGCTTGACCATTAACCCTGAGATGGGTGAATGAAACACATTCTACTTTGTTGAGGGATGACCTTTTATGATTACCTATCCTAACTTCATTGACAGAAAGCATGATACCATCATTGTGGCTAGCCTTGACCTTTGACATTGTAATTGGTTAATAAGACAAGTTTATGTCGTTCTTGACCTTGAAATTTGTGATAAAACATTTTTATCTGACTTTTAATCTTGAATGTGGTAAATGTTGCCAGCATATCTTGCTTATCACTTTCAATTTCATAAATATTTTGATGCAGTATTTTCAATACTGATTTGTTTGTTAACTTTGAGCAGTAAGAAATTTACAATGGTATATTTTGCCTCAATTCTTTGTTTGATGGACTGATAACATCAAGATTTCATTGTATTAATTTATTACTAAATACTTTTTAATTCAGCCATATCATCTTAAACTGTTTATTGTATCAAATAAAACTGAAGAAAAAGTAATCAGTTGTTATGTTAATAAATACTGTGATCTTGGTAGGAAAACTTTAAGCATGCAGGGAAAAAAATTGCATCCAATAAGAATTATAGGCGATTATCATTGATTTTATTGTAAATTGATAGGATTTAAAGTAATTAAAAATAATGAATTAAAAACTCCATTATTATATTGGTGACTGAGATGTGTTTGGAAGTAAAAGTTAGTTAAGAAAGGCAATTCATCAGATTCTCAGGTAGAAGGTTAATAAACTAATGAAGTTAAATTTATTATAAAAAAGAGTAACTGAGAAAAATGATTTTTTTTTCATTAAAAATGAAATGAATTTTATAAAAAATTGTCATGAATTTCTCATAAAACCCCATTGTTTGTCAGTATTGATTTAGTTGAGTGCTGAGGGGGGATTCTAATCAGCCACAGATGACGATGTCAGTTCTTTTCCTCTTTCCCCCCTCTCCCAATCCATCATACACTTCTATAATTTCATCTTGAAAATCTAATTATGTCAGCTTGGTTAAAGCTTTGTTGTTTTGTTAATGACATTCCTAGGTAGACCAGATTAGAGTCCTCTATGCGTTTTAACTAAGGGATAATGTGTATTGGGGATGTAATCTTCCCGCATTAACTGTTGTTTTGCAGTTTGATCATTTGTAAATAGTCTTTTTGTCTCTGATCTTTTGAAATGGGGAAAGATCAATATTAGGTGCTCTTTCATAAAGTAAATTCCATATAAAACACATTAAAAACTGCCTTTCTGGTTAAAAATAAAATCTTTAATTGTATTGATCAGAGTGATTTCAATGCTCTTCATCATTTCTTTATAATCATCATTAAAAAAGTGTTTATGTCTTGTATACATTTGGCCCTACAGGCATAAGATTAGCTGATAAAACAGAAACAATTGGAAATATAATGGTGTCTGTCTTAACATTACATGATCAGTTTGTGACTGAGTGCTCCTACGAAAAAAAATCAAAATTACCCTCATATCCTTGGAACAATTGCAGAATATACTTTATGGAGTTTCATTTAATATGACTTAAATGGAGTATTTACAGAATATGATGGTCTGCTAAATGTGATTTGGAACAAGATTTCAGTCTAAAATTGCCTTCAGTCCAATCTGAAAATTGTTTTGGGACTCTCATTATTCCCAGAATCGTAGCAACAGTTGCTGGGATCAGATCCCGGGGTCTGTGGAGTGTCAAAATCATACACTAATGTAATTGGATGGACAATTCATGTCATTCAGATAAGAATGGAATAAATATAACAATTTTGCTCCTTAATTTCGATTGATTTTCTGATGTCTTTTTTGTAAGATATGGCTTTGTCCATATCCCCCTCGTGGTTTGATCTAACAGCAGATGAGATCGTAACAAACCATTACTGCCTTATTACATTGATTTGAGATTTCACCATACAGGAACCTGCACAAGATAAAAGATTAGGCAATTTAACATGAAAGGTATTTTTCTTGGAATACAAGGCTTCCAGAGAAACCAATTAAATATAGCTTTCACTAACAAGCCTCTGTCACATATCATCTCAAATTTTTAGCTTAAATGCATAATGTCTAGATAAAAGTAGGTTTAGGAACTTAAAATTCAGAAACTTTGCTTAAAAGGAAAAGAGCTATAAATCACATCTATTGCTTGAAATGAGGTGCTCATCATAAGGAAGTTTTTTTTTTTTTTTTTTTTTTTTTTTTTTTTTGGAAATGATTGTTAAGTAAGGGGAAAAGATCACATAATTCTACCAATGTAAACATTTAAACCTCTAGTGATTATTTTCTCATAAACAATTTGGATTTTTTTCAGTTTATTTTCTTCTCACCAATTTTATGGCGTTGTATGTCTTATTTTCCTTTTGCTGTTTTGTGGTTCTGATTTCCCTTTAAATCCACATTGTGATCCTCAAACACTATCTAGAATCACTCATTCAGAAAAAATAGGTCACATGCAGCAGCTGAAAAATGAATGGAAGTATATATTCCAAGAGAAACATCTGTACAGGGTTCTTGCAACAATAGAGTTAGTTTAGAATGGACCTGCTCAAATATATCTCCCTGATCTGTCCAAAAAATATAGGTCTCATACATATCCAAATCATGATTGTTAGACTAAGTAAATCTTAATTGTCATCTCATCGCAAGTTTAATCAATTTAGATATTTAGCTGCTTAAGAATAAACCTGTGAAAAAAATTTAACCAGATCAAGGATTTGGAAAATATAAACCACTTGCAACTTCTGAGCCCTTAGTGCACACCGATGTACAACCTGATTATATGAGTTGCATTACTAATGAGAGACAAATTCTTCAAAAAAAAATGTACAGTTCTTTTGACAAACTTTCTGAAGGAGTTACAGGGCTAAATTCTGAAATGTCATTGTACCCTGCTATCATGAAAGCACGCTTTCATACTCAGGGTCATTAAAGGATGACTGCACTTAAGGACATGCGGAATTTGCAACAAAATAAACTTTCAAAAGAAGCATTTTTCTTTTCATTGCAAGAATGGCAACATCCAATCTACAAATTTATGTAATAACGTTTAATAAAAGTGTGTATTTACAAAGTTCGAATCTGTTTTCAAAGGCAGGGATCATCACAATTTTTTGAATCTCCGTACGATAATGAGGACGCCCACTTTTTTACTGACTTTATACATAGTCAGCGCATGTTTGTCTATTGTTCTATGTTTAACAGTAGTTGTATATTTGCATAAATAATAATGTGTCAAAAGGAGATTAATAGACAAACATGCGCTCATGGTTAAAAAGAGAAAAAAACTGCTTCTTCTTACATTTGCTCTCTGTGTTGTAACCAAGGATTGTGACATGTTGAATATTATAATTCACCACGTGATGTCTTACTTTAGGTAACTCTGTGAATACTAAATTCCGTGACTTGTAAGGTAGCATTATTGTGCTAACTATAGGACATTGTGTTCGAACGTAAGTCATCTGGCATTGATATACAATCTTTTGTGCTCATATTGCTAGTTTTGTTTTGAAACCTTTGTCAGAAGTGTATTTGTGCCATACAGAATGGAGAGGGAGATTGGAAAGAGTGATCACGTTCTTTTTTTCAAACATGTCATTGTTATTCATCAAGTCTAATTTTAGACCCATTATTACAGTGTTAGCTCCACCTATCATGCATATCTAATGTTCATTCAAGGGCAGGTAAGTGTAAATTCACTACAATGAAGCGCATTGAAGTGGTAAAATTCTCCGTTTGAGTGGAATTTCTTTAGAACTTTGATTGTCATATAATGACACGCCTATTTC